TCCAAAGCTTGTACATGACACTATAGCACTAGTACTATATATATATACAGTATACACAACTGTAACTATATGATATGTATCAGCAACCTCGAGCAGCTATCATCTAGAACATGTTCACATGTTTCAAGCTCCAAGGGGAATTGGTGCACAACATCACTGGAGAATGACTCGACATGACTCCGGTCCGGTGTCACCAGTCCACCGGTCGGACTCCAGGTGGGTGGGGATTTGGCCTTCGATCTTCCAAAACCAAGGGCACGGGTGACCCAGAACGAACGACGAGGACGAGTAGACGGGGACTGGGGACCGCCGGTTGAGGACGCGACGTTTGGCGCGAAAGGGGTTCCGGGGATGTGCCCAAGTTCCCCACCCCAATACGGTTCTTTGGATGAAAGACGTGTGTTCGGAACGGGGTGAGGTACGGTTGCGTACATCAACCTTCGCCCGTGGTGCGTCGACACGGCTGTTGCACATCACTTCACCAAGATCACCGCTGGCATGATCGTAGATCCCATTGACGATACAATCAACACCGCTGGCTTGCGACGTCCTTAAGTAGACCATACACCTGTAGAAACTGTTGTTTGTGAGGTCCTTGTGAAACGGTCAGCCAGTCATTAGGGGTGCACGCCACGATGTGTTCAAAGAGGATATATACCTTTGAGTGAAAGCATTCACTTGTAATGTATGAAACATTCTAAAACTCTTTTTTTCTAGATTATATAACATAATATATATATATATATATTTATATTTATTTAATCGTAAGTATTGTCGTAGGACTGTCTACAGGTAAGTTACGAAAGCCAGCCTTCGTAGAAGGCGCCAGCTGAGTTGTGCTTGGCGAACGAAGTGAGTAGTTAGGGGGTCTGGGGGTGGCCCGCAAAAGGTACACGTCAACTCGGCACATGCTGAGGGAGGAGGGTGCACGGATGGAAGGTTTTTTGAGGTTGTGTTGGAGGTGATTTTTGAGGGGTGGTGATGCAAGAAATGCAATTTGCATCATTTGCATCATCTGAATGGTAAGGTGTAGTTGGCACCTTGCCAGGTATAGATACGCAGGGTAGCTATAGTGCAGTTACCAGGTATAGTACTTCAAGTTCCCTTTCCATCAACCGCTCGATAACCTTTACACACGCGAAGCAATCCGCAGCTTTGAAGTCTCATGCGCGCGATACCTGGGAACAGAATTGTAGCTACCCTGGGTCCGTATACATGCTATGTTGCTATACCTCTTACACACCTATATAAGTTCAAAGCGCGAATGAGACTTCAAAGCTGTGGTTTGCTGTGCATGTGTAAAGGTCATCGAGCGGTTGACGGAAAGGGAACTTGAAGTACTATACCTGGCAACTGAATTGTAGCTACGCTGGGTATCTTTACCTGGCAAGGCGCCAGCTGAGTAAGAAGGGGGGTTCGGGGGGGTGGCCTGAGAAAGCAGACTCGAAAGTAGGTGGTGTGTAGGGGTGCACGGAAGCAAGGTTTTGGAGGTGCGTTTGGTGATTTTGAGAAATGCAATTAATTGTCTTCGGTTGGTTGCAGTGCTATACTTGGCAACTGAATTGTAGCTACCCTGGGTATACCTGGCAACTGCCTTGTAGCTGCCAACTGCCTTGTAGCTGCCCTGGGTCCGCGCGCGCACGCCTAAATCACGGGCAGCCGGGAGCCAGCAAGGCGCACGCGCCCGCGCGCGCAGACCCAGGGTAGGGAAATTGAAGTGGGATACCTGGCAACAGAATTGTAGCTACCCTGGGCCCGTATAAATGCTATGTTGCTATACCTCTTACACACCTATATAAGTTCAATGCAAGAATGAGACTTCAAAGCTGTGGATTGCTGTGCGTGTGTCAAGGTTATCGAGCGATTGACGGAAAGGGAACTTGAAGTACTATACCTGGTAACTGAATTCTAGTTACCCTGGGTGATATTTGTTTGGACACTTACGCTTACATCAAAGAAGGATTTTTTGTAGAACATTGCATCTCGGAATTGTTGGCACTGGGAAGCATTTTCTTTAGGGTTGTGCTTAGAAAGATGGCGAAAGGCCATCAAGTTAAGGAAATACCGTTAAATCAAATCTTCTCAATCTAGTCCTTGGCAGAAGACCCAGGTGCATCCTGTTTGGTTTTGACTTTCTTTGGTGTTACAGCAGCGGCACAGGATTCAATATTCAAGATCTCTCCGACACTCTTTCTCTGGAAATCTTGAAGCCTCATGAACCTTTGTTGTCAATTTGCCAGAAGAACAAGGCTGCTTTATATTACAAACTCACCAACTCCACTTTGACAATTGATACAACCCGACAAAGAAAACAGGAATACATTCAATAGAAATACCAAGTCACCCATCATTACAAAATTGATTAAGGTATCATATCCGAGTCAAACCATCTCTTTAAGACTCTAAGATAGACTTGGTTCGCTCTTAGTAGGGAAAAGGGTTATATAACACTGTTCATGTTCAGCAACCTGAGTATATAAAGCGGACTCGGCGGACTCACAGCAAGTCGAGCTATGGTTTCCAGTTCTACTCCACGTATGTTGATTTTTTTGCAACTTTTGCTACATAGTTTACTACATAGTTTGATAATATACGTTTTATAATGCATTTGGGAGAACTAATAGTGCACAGGAGAGTTGAGGAGATTGAATGTTCCCAAGTTACGTTCTTATGTGGACCAACTAAGCCCGTTTGGGCTGGCAAAAATCCTATAGGTAGACGCCGACAACCTGATTCAAGGTTGAGATCACTTATGACTAGCCAATATGGCGATTTGGCTCTCTCGACAACTGAGCTCAGCCATCCCGATCCCTTCGCAGGCCCGATCCCTCCTTGAGAAGATGGACGCGATGGCATCCTGATCGCGACGCGAGCGGAAGATGGACAGAGAGACGCTGTGTTATTTTCAGAAGATGATCGTGCATCAGAGTTTCTGAACGTGTTTGTGTTTAATCCGAAAGAACGACAACTCCGTAGAGAGAGACGTAGAGACGAAGGTTTCATACATTGATAAAACATTATAAAACGCATGTGAGATGGACATGTTGGCGGCCCGTTCGGCTAGTCAGAGAACCTCTAGCGACTTGTCTGAGACATGTTGCTCACACGCTGGTCGACGAGCAAAAGTGCAGTGCCTTGCGGAAGACCTGTTGGAAATGCTTTTGGACTATACGGCCTTCACCTGCTTCCATGTATTGTCAGCCAAGCCTTGTTCATTTCCAAGCTCACATGTCACACTCGCCAAGCACTTGGGCAAAGCAAACTGATCGATCTGTTTTTTGAAGAGAGCGGGGGGTGAGGGGGGGGGGATGTGAAAGTTTTTATTTTGCAAGGTTTTGAAGGGTTCTATATGTTTTTGAAAGGACCCCCCCCAAATTCCCATGTCAAGCAAATCCCCATGCTGGCAGGTCCCAGAGATGTTCCTTTCCTTTTCTGCAAGGGTGGATTTGGCATACCACCAAAGTGGCCGTAGATGGCGGTGTTGAGGGGGCGCATGCAGGTACCAGTTGCCAGGTATACCCCTTGGCGCAACTCATCGTTCTTGAGACTGGCAGAGCATGAGCTTCCTTTGGGGTGAAGCAAAGTGTACAAGACCTTAGTTGGTGTATGTTGGTGTTGGAAAACCATTTGCCGCCTTTTTGACAGGATTTTTGTTCTAAAAATCTGGTAGAACTCTTCAACTCATTTTTAGACAGCAAATGGTTCTCCAACACCAACATACACCAACAATCTGGTAGAATTTTGTTCTTCAACTCTAGTTGGCAGCCAGGTCGTTGCAACCCATCTTTAGGCAGCTAGGTCGTCACGAACGAACGACCTTTAATGTTCATTGGTCACTGATGAGTCTCTCTTACCGTAGGGCTCCAACCTTATCCTCAGGTACGGTGGTTAGATCCCCCAAACCTCAGGAGGTGGTCGGAGCCCTAGGGTCAGGAACAACACATGTTTGAGTTGCTCTTCCAGGTCCTGGGAAACGATGCATGATGCATGATCGTCGACGATTGGCGAGTGTCCACTCGACCTTTTTTGCGGCAGTTGATTGAACAAGAGCATGGACAGACCACAAATTGCCTTTTACTCTTGGTTGATCAATAGAGGGGAACCCCCTCAAGTGAACAACCAATAGATATGTGGTAACAAATTGCGACCCCTTATCATTCCCAAGGTCGGACATCATTGGGACTGACCTACCTGCTGATTTCTGACAAACCATCGCCACCGGATGAAGAATTCGGTTTAGTAGCTCGTACATGTAAGGACTCATAGGAATCAATCCTTGAACAAATCCACCAGTTTGCTTCGTGTTTGTTTTATTTGAGCCTCTATACGACCAACATGAGGGAACTGGCCACAAGCAAGATGCCTCTGAGTTTTCAAGGAACATAACATACACGAAAAGGAGCACCCTGCATTCTGCAAGATCATGATGATGCTCCACTTCTACATGCTCCTGAAGAAGTCATGCGTCGCTAGGTATATAATCTGGACAACAAACCTTGCAAACCTGTTCGTTTGCGATCGCCTTTTGACCAGAACCGTGTGGATCGCCGACACTCAGGGGAGGGAAACGGGGTGCGTTACCCGGTAGCGGCAGAATCTCGCCATGGCTTTGGCCGCATGTTCATGACCGAACCACAATGTACTTTTCAGCATGCGAACCACCACCGTGATGAGTGTGCCTGCCAAAAAAACATGATGAACCAGCCATGCGGTGAAGCTTTTGCAGCTGAAGGTGACCCTTGGTTCTCACCCATAAGAGTGGCATACAAAGTCTGGAGAACACACAGCGTGCAACCGGAAGGTGTGATTCGGCAAGACACACAGGGAAGTAGTGGGGATGACTGCTGAGTAGCACATTCACGATCCCAACACGCTGTCTCTACAGTTTGGGCCTGAGAAAGATAACACCTGGGGGTACCTAATTTCCTTACTCAGCCATAGTTGAAACTGATTGAAAGAAAGCTAGATCATACGTTTTAGCTCAGAAATCACATCAAAGAAAGACGTCTGTCCACCACTCCCGACCGTGGACCGTGCTGTGGCATGGGGTGCTGGCTGCTCATGGCACCTCGAGGCCGTGCCGCGGCTGCAGGTTGCAGGCTGCGGAGCTTCCGGTTTAGTGAGACCGTCCGGACCGCGCCGTGCCAACGAGGATTGTAAAAACAAAAACGGCCTAGGTTTGTATAGTGCCAAATCCTCAGTAAATCAATGGTTCTGAATCCTGAAGTATTTTTTGACGACTCAATCAATGGTGGTTGCAAGCCTTTTTGGGGACAGTTTTTATGGACAGTTTTTGGGATAGGATCAACCTGTCGCGGTGCGTCATTTCCGGTGACCGAACGACCTCGAAAACCGAATCCCGACATCCCGCTGCGACTCGTACCAGTCCGAAGAACAACGGTATACGGTATACGGATATATATATATATATGGTATATACCTGGGTCTTCATAAGTATGCATTTTTAATGCCTTTTCAATCAAAACTGCTTTTTCAAGCAAACGCCAACTATTTTGTACTGAAGCACTTTTTGCATTGACATGTTTTCACGAAAGGTAGCTTGAGCTACCTGAGTTCTCCTTGCTTTAGCAAAAATATATTACAATCAGGAGTTGGGATTGTGCATTGAATTTGGTCCTGTAAGAGTTGATTCTGTTCGTCGGGGGGGGGGGGGCCCCCCCCTGGATCAAATCCCCCCTGCGCCGGTTCACGCCGTCGTGGACTTCTACCAGGGTTACTTGTGATTGCCTGCTACCTTTCGTTCACCCCCTCCTCTCTCAAGTCGATGGTATGTCAAGGTATTGAAACGGCGACTTTTCCCGACCAAACGGCGACTTTCCCCGACCAAACGGCGACTTTTGCAAACTGCTAGTTTGGTAACCTCTGTAAAACATCGAAACGGCACTTTTGAAATGAAACGGCGTTTCTGACGGCAAACGACTGAAATTTGTGCTGTTTCGCCAAACGGCAGAAAAAACACACCCGTGGAAGGTCCAGGTATATAATATATATATGGTATATATATATATATTATATACCAGCACCCTCCAACAGGTCACCAATCGAGACCTTAGGGCCCTTCCCAACCCTCGAAAGCAGACCTGTTGGAGGGTGCTGGTATATATTTACAGTGGTTTAAGAGGTTCGATGGCACTGGCACAACAAGATGTCTTTAAAGATGAGGGCTCCATACCCACCACTGTATAAAACCACCAAACTTGGAGAGGTCACTGTGCACATTGCACCTCTGGATCGAAGGGTGAGAAGGTCGACTCTTTCATGATCCCGTTTGGGATCCCGTTTGCACCACCGAAACCTCGGTTCGGTGGTTGGGTTGGGTGGGGTGATCCTGGCCCACCGTACCTGAAAAGATGGGATATACGCCCTACGGGATATCAGATACGGCTCTTGGGACAGGAGCCTCAAGAAGTTTGAACAAATCCAAATGATGAGCTGATCAATCTCAAGAGTCTTTTGATGTCTTTTGGTTACAGTGGTCCTCCCTTCGAAAGGACAGCTGCTGTTTTCTCTTTCACCAGAAAAATTCAATCACCTAGATCAGAGAAGGATTAGATCAGAGCAGGGTCGCATGAAATTTTATGTTTTTTACTTTTTAGCATTTTTCACCTGTTTTTATCAATTTTCCACATTTATGATAATATTTTCACATTTTAAAGCATTTTTCCACATTTTTCACATTTATTTTTCATTTCATTTTTTGTTTTTAAAAAAGTTACTATTTTGGGGGAAAACACCTCAAACACAACATGGTTAATCAAATTGTGTTTCTTGGGGAGAAGTTATCCTAACAGCTGAACACAACTGACTGCAGCAATCATATCACGCTCCAGTTTGCATGTGAAATTATGTTTTTGCATTTTTTTGCATATTTTTGCATATTTTCTCATGTTTCGAGATTTTTCGAGATATTTCGAGATTTTTCGAGATTTTTTGAGATTTTTTGAGTTGTTAAAATGATTTTTCCTTTTATCCCCTCGAGATTTTATGAGATGTTTCGAGATTTTTTGAGATTTTTCGAGATTTTTCGAGATTTTTCAAGATTTTTTGAGATTTTTTGAGTTGATTGTTGCTAAGATTTTCATTTAAAACATTTTTTGCATTTTTTGCATTTTAAATCTCTTATCAAGATTTTAAATCTCTTTGGAAAGTCTTCCATTCCAAAACCTCTCCGGCGCAGGGTATTGAATTTTTTTGGTGACTCTTTGACCGGCCCAAATGACCGCTTCCTGGAAGAGCAGCTGGTCGATGTTGCAAATCTGATGAATTCGACATCGTTGGACCAATCTTTCGGGATGCTGCACCCAGAGGGACCATATCCTCAAACAATCCACAGCTGGTATCCATGCCCGTCAGGAAACTCCCTGCACCATCCTGCACCCGCTGTGAGTCGCTATGATCCATCTCAGGAGCTCGCGGGACCATGTTGGGCTGTGTGGCCCTGGTGGTGGCCCTGCGCAGGACGGGACCTCGGGCCGGCGCCGCGGTGCTCACCGGACCAAGCACCGCGGGTTTTTCCAAATGGACGAGCTTCTTGTTCCTAGTAGCTTCTTGCTCCTAGTAGTACGGCCAGGAGCCCCTCGTAGTGTCCTTGCTTCTAGTAGCGATGCCAATGATGCTGAGTGACGCGACGGCCGACCTTCACGGCAATCAGCCTTGGCCGGATTGGGCAATAGGCCTCGGCCCCAGACAGGTTGAGTGTGGGGTATGTACCCTAGGGCTCCAACCACCTCCTGAGGTTCGGTGGGGTTGGGTTTGTGGGATATGGGACAGGAGCCCTGGGGGTACATCCTTTCATTCCTTTTCGAAGGGTCTTCTTTTGGAGGCGAACAAGTCACCGAATGTCACCGAAACGGGTCAAGGGGTCCCTGAAGGTATCCAGCGGGGGAAGTATCTTCACCGGGTATGGATTGGACCATTGACATACTCGAAGAGGGTCAAGAACATATTAAAACACGTCTTGCTTTACCCACATCAATGAAGTCATAGTCGTGGTAGAGAAAGATCGTTGATCTTGCGACGATCGAACAAAAGCAAAATCAAACAATGGGTTTAGACACTCCATGGGACTGCCATATATGCCGCCCCATAAATTGACCCCCCTGGCACCACCCCAATTGATTGGCAGTCCTATGGCAGTCCCAGACAGGTCGTGTCTGGGATGGGTTTAGTGGTTTCTCCCCGTGTCTCGTAGATCTTCATCTCGACTCACTTTGCCAGAGCTACTGTACCTTGCGTACCTTGGGCAAGGTTACGGAGAATTGGTTCGATCCACGCCTAGTGAATTGCACACACGCTCAGAATGCATGAGATCTTCTTTTGGCAAATCTTATCAAGTGGTGGATGTTCCACAATGATTGCTATCCCAAACGATCCATAGTGGCGCACATGTATCGCCTACATGACTGGTGGTTTTTGCTGGCTTTCATGTGGGTCATTTTTAGTTGCACGGATCATTTGGGTCATTTGGGTATGACGGTATGACATGCTATGACTATGGAATCGGATCGGAAGTCACTTGGAGGGAACGGATGTTTTCAAGGACTTCCGGCTTGGCGGAAACTGGTGCCTTCGCAGCCTCTCCGATGGCAGGGAGATGTACAAGCAATAAAAAAGAACAAATTCCTGGTTCTTCAAAGTGACCTTTTGATATCCCTGTTTGAGGTCACTTTGAAGAAGCTGGTTAATGTGTTTGTTTGACTGGGTGGAATGAACAAGTTTAGCTAGGATCATGTTGGGTGTTGGGATATCCATTCCCGGTACTGGCTGAAGGATCGTTCCTGAGGATACTTGAAGCTGGAAACTCAGAAGGGAACCCACTCGGTCAAAGAGATTGTTTTCTGAAAGAGCAGAGTGAGGGAACCCCAAAAGGTGTTTCGATCAGTCTACAAACTCTACGCAACGAGCAACGAGCAATGTGCACTTGCACCCAGAAATCCAAGCTAAACCATTTATATACACTTTGAACTTTGAAGTTTGTTTTGTTTGCCTTTGACTGTCGGAGATAAGGGCCAGTTCCATGCTCTCAAAACAAGTAGCCATCCACCATCAGAATTTCCGTGTTACTGCCGATCAGATCGAAGTCTTCTTGGGAGAGGACTTCAGCAGCCTATCACTTAGGGTGAAGTGGAAAAGAACGCTTCTTGCTATGGGGTTCTCTAACTCAAAGTACTGTCTCAGTAACCCCCGATGATCCGTGCATCCTGCGCCCAATCTGCTTTGCTTCGCACTGGTCTGCGTGATGCTCAGCACTCAGCACTGAGGAGAGTTTTTCCCGTTCCCTTGCTGCTTGGCCGGTCGACCGAAGAAGGGACGATGAAGGCCGCGGCTGGACGACCGGCCTCGGTGCATCATCCGCTTACATGTCTTGACCCACCCAGCAGAGGTTCTGAAGGCGAAGTGGAGCATAGGCCACTGGAAAAGCATTGGCCTTGAAAACCGGTGGTTTACCACAGATCCATGATGAATGCTGGAGAATTCACATCCAGTTCTGGAGAATTCACACCGACATCCACACGGGCGAAGCGAAAAATTTTCGTTGAGCTTAGACATACTATATCATCCATTCAGGAATGGACCAGAAGACACGGCGCTTATATAGATGGGATTTTCGCGCTTAGTGTGTGGTCATCAGGCAGAGAGTGGTTTGAGAATGGCTGTTTCAGAGTAGACCAGATGGCACTCCCAAACGCGACCTGTCTGGGACTGCCAGGACGGACTGCCGCCCCAGACAGACCTCGAAAATGGCCCACCCCAATGTAGGCATATGTACCAGTCCCATGGAGCGTCTGGCACTGGCATCCCAAGATGTTTTTTAGATTGAGGTCCACATGAACCACCAATTTGGCCGTGCCCGTGTGCCATTGACTCTGAAACCTTTTTGTACTCTTGTGCTCGTAAGACATCTTTGAATGCACAAGAAATGCTTTCTTCCCCCTCACTGTCGCAGTGTACAGACATCGACATCCGGTCCCCACTGTCTCATGGTGGTCGTCGTGGCTGGAGAAAGATGACTTCCCGATTGACGATAAAAACCCTCTAGGGCTCAGCTCAACTACCACCGTTCAGGGGTGGATTTGGGGTCTAACCACCAAACCTGAGGAAATGGGACAGGAGCCCTAGGGCCAAGTTGACAGCGCTGTGGAATCCATAGCTTTCGGCGCCAGAAGAGATTCTGAATGCTTTCTTCGTGAAAGACGGCAGGGGCGGGGCTCTGGGGGTGCTCCGTGACCATTCGCCTGGGCATGGGCACTTTGATCAGGTGACCGGCCGGGTGGTCTTAAGATTAAGTGACTTAAATCAGTGTGAAACCACTGAACGAGTTCTGCGATTCCCTCGGCATTCGGCCTTTTACAAGGCTGAATGATGCCATGAGGACGACGCAAGTGGTTTGTCGCCTGACCTTCCACTGGAAAGCCATGCAACAGAGGCACCTGACTTTCCAGGTCACACCTCACCGGGTTTCCCGGGCTCCCCTCGCCATGCTGAGGAAGGAACACGGCTGCGAGTTCTTAGCTGGAATGTGGCTGCCGTGAACAACAACCCCTTTGAGCTTCTCAGCTATATACCAGGATCATCCTGTCTGGGTGTCCAATGGAGGTCCATAAACAGTGTAGAATAGGCTATTGGACACCCATTGCATGCCCCCGGTATCTTTTTCTTCTCCAGATGGGTGCAGACATCCACAACAAGATCATGTTCAATGACAATTCGAAGCTCAGGTTCCTTCGCTTACAGCTTGCTTTTTGGAGTATACGGTCTGGAACAACACCTTTCCAGCCCCATACCAATCCAATCCCAAGGCAAGTTGCCGTCCACAGGAGTCACTAAGAAAGATCCACACCCGAAAACAGGTGCAGCTGTGCTTCAAGAAGCCATTTCCTTTGGATGAACCCAGTTCGTGTGACCTCAACGCCTTTGTGACCTCATGTGTTCCCACATATGTCGACATTGCAGCCTGGTCCAGTTTGCTTTTGGAGCCGGTGGCCCATCGTTCTGTCAGAGTGGTGTTTTCCCGTACTGTTTCGCTCGAACGACGTCATGCAAAGTCACAACGCATAAAGCAAAAGAACGTTGGGCGCCAACTTCCTGAATTCGTTCATCGTTGGCTGCTTTGCTTTCAGTTTCCTGCTTTCGTCACCTTCACGGCAGGTATTGGATCACTCACCCGAAGAAGGAATACAAGGCCCTCATGGAGGCTGTGGAGCAGTTCATCTCCGAACCTGGGGAGGACTGATCGGTTCCGTTCGCCGAACCTCGACCTGTTCACGGGCCACGCACCCAAGAACTCCCGCACGGGGGTGGTCTAATATCTTCTTGTTACTACTAGTAAGGCTCTTGCTCCTAGTAGCGATGCCAGGAGCCCCAATCGTCGATCGTAGCGTCTTGTTACACGCTGGGTTTTTTGGATGTTTTTGTTGTGTGTGTTTTGGAGTGAACCATTGTGAACCTGTGAACTGGTTCCTTTTTGCGCATTCTTTTGGTTTAACAAGGAACTCTGGCTTCCTGTTTGTTTTTGGAGCTCCATGCGACGTCCATGCGATGAAACAGCCGGAGGTGGACTCCGGCATTTCTCGGCCCGATGAACAGCTCCAAGCTCCGTCCGGACTGACCGCTGATGGGATGGATGACTCAGCACCGTTCCTCAGCCTGCGACTGCGGGAGGAGGATCTTCTGGTACATGAGGTCTTTACCGTGCCCTGGGCGTAGAGTCGGTGGGAGCGTCGTGAGGTCGGTGGGAGCGTTGGCGAAGAATCCTTCCTCTCGTTTTTGGAGCAGCGAGCTGCTCCCCACATGCCCAAACTGCTATATAACCGACAACTTAAAAACCTTTAAGGCAAGTTCAAATCATCATTTGTGGCCCCCCAAAAGTGAAAGGATTGTCCTTTCTTCGGATCCATTTTTCCATCGAAGAGGCCGGTGTTTCTGCTAACCTCGCAGCTAAGATCGGGTCCGTTTCGAGTCGAAGCAGCAGCTGGATCCGGCGGATGGTAGTTCCGGCGATGTCTTCTCTCTCGTTTCTGGAGTCCGAATCTACCGTGTCGTTGATTCCATGTGATTCATGTAGATTGACTAAGGGGTGGTTGACGACATGGGGTCGCAGGCGTAAAGACAGAGCTCCGGACCCGGTCGGGCAGGAGGTTCGCAGAATGGACCTCTCTTGGTAGAGGGGCCCCTGCTTCGGGGTGGTCAATGGACACCCCTGACCCCCTATAGGGGACCCTGGTACCCATACACTCCATGCGACTGGAATAGATGTCGATCCAGCCAGACCTTTCTGGCACCCCGAACGGCCGTGCCACGTCCGGCAGTCCGGCAGTCACAGACTGGTCGCGTCTGGACCACCCCAAAACCAACCGTCCGACTACCAGGCAACGTCTGAAAGGTTCTGAGGTGATCCATGTTCAGTTGAACGTGAACGTCGTACACATGAGTGAATGATAGTAGCATATAGTCATATAGCTATAGGGAGACCTCCCAGGCGTTGCGACCTTAAATCAACCATCGTCGACTCGCAGGCCTCAGCGTCGAAATTCGGGAAGCTCTCTAAAGTTGAAAATACGGAAGATGGTGTATTTGGGAAGATCGTCCAATAGCTTAGGCTTAGTCCTGCATCTTTGGGTTCATCCAGAAATCTGACTCTTGAACCACCCCAGCCCTCTTCAGAGGTTTAGGAGTTATTGATCAGTCTACAGTATGGAGGTGTGTCCTCCACTGTGGTCACCCAAAATTGAACAGACTTTGATTGAATTGGAATGCCTCCTTTCATTTCAAGGGAGAAAACCCCTTCATATTATAGGACTTAGGACTGATGCGTGTTCAAACATGGCTGACATCAATTGAACCTTCAACCCGTGGTCCTTTAAGCCTTCCACACGCCTGCGGGCACCTCAGGACCACATGTTCCAGACCCTTTCTGCACGGATGCGATCCTCTGGATTGGAAGCAGCGACTGGCCATTCAGAAATCGGAAGCACACACAATGTGTTCTTGTTCATCATTGTTCACTCTGAGTATCTCTGAGATCTCTGAGTCATAAAACATGGAGGCCTCTAGTCAAAAGGGTAATGTTCCACTTCCATAGATTATTTCAGGGAATGTTCGGAACTTGTTTGCATTGCTTGTTGGATGTCCAGTGTTCAATGTTGTCGCTTGGGTGACGAAATGCCACAGTTTTTAAGAGCGTTATTCAGGGTTGCTCAAAAACACCTTGAACAACAACACGACAGTCACTTGTTTTTCGAGACAGTCACTGTGTTCTTCGCCGAGGTTGATGTGGCTGAGACATTTTGGAGCCAATACCGTAGCTGGGCAGCTGGTCGGTGCTGGTCCTCATGATTGTTCTTTGTCACCTGAAAGGGATCCACCGAAACGAAAAGAAGGTACGACTGGACCCGACGTTTTGGCACCTACTGAGATGATGTAGTTCCTATGGGAAGTCCGGATTATGAGCTGGACCCTCCTGGCACCTAATCCTGGCACCTACTGACCCTAGCGATCCTGGCGATCCTACATAATTCCTTCTGACAAGGTACGACTGGATCCCTTGAGTTTGGCCTGAAAGATGGGGTGGAAGGGCAGGATACGCTCGAAAAGAGAGAGAGAGAGAGCGTTTTTCAATGCATCAGTCCTGAAGTCCGGTATCGGTTGTTTCTGCGCCTGTTGACTCTTCCGAGGTCCATGGTCCACTGGTGAGGAATCTGGTTCCAGTTCAATGCATATGTGCAATTATGTGCAGGAGTTTGCAGGACCCAGAGGTCCAACGTGGTTTTGCTTAGGATGATTTGACTTGTTATTTGACCACAAAAAGAGGGTAACACTTCTTTTTGCTGGACTTGTTGATCTTAGGGAGGGAAACAAGTGAAGACAGCTCCTAGCAGAAGCTTGTGAATGGATTTCATATGACTTCATATGGTTTCAGCGAGTCAGTCCGCGAATCACCTTCCACTTTCCCATTGGTCAGATTAGATGTTGTTTCGACTTCAGACCTTACTTGCGTATTTTGTAAACTTTACAGACCCATGGATGTCTTTGTTCCTCCCACTAAACCAGAATTGGTGAGAAATGTTTTTTTCTTTTACAGGGAAACACCTCAACGGTCAGACTTAAAATCCCCATAATATGTATCATACATGTTTCTTGAATCATATCACCTTCAGGGAATTTGAGGCAGCATCACTGAATCACGCTCCAAAGGGATTCCGCTATAGCTCTGAAGCATCACCTTCCTATTTCATCCGCTCCCGTTTCTCCACGAGGCACCCGGCGGATCGTGAGCAAGTTCCTACGGGACCCGGTCATCGGCAAGAAGCGTGGCTCGGCTTCGTCCGGTGGGTCCGCGGTGCGGTGCGGTCCGCGGCAAGGTGTTGGTTGGGCTTTGGGCTTCAACTGGGCGGAGGGTTGGAATTTCAATCGAGATCTGAGATCAGGGGTGTTTTGGGGTTGAAATACAAGGAATGCCTTTTCTGGAGAAAACCTGTCAAATCACGTTGAGATTGGAGACACTTTGAAGAAGCACTCAAGTAGGTGGTCATCAGGTGACTTCCCAACACCTTCGACCTAGGAGCTATAGCTGGATCTCTATGCAAAATGGTAGTTCAAAGGATTTGTCCTCTTCTCGTTTGGGGTCCGAATCGCAATGCCCGTGTCGTTGATTCATTTAGAAAGAGAAGCACGTACGGAAAGCTCACGCAATGGCGAAGGAGTGGTGGTCGCCAGGTTACGTTTTGGAGGGAGATCTTCCATTTGTCTGGTGCTCTTTGGGTATCTTTGGGTTCTCGAATATTCATGAACTACTGATTTGAACAACCATCCACGTGACAACAATCCACGTGTTTGATGTCGTCTTGGGTCCGCGAAGAGCTACCCAAGATGCACTGATGGACCCCAAGAAGATGTTTGATGAACATGCCTTGGGGTTGTCCTATTACCTGTGACATTCAGTAAACAAGCGACTCACTATTGTTGAATAAGGCCTGCAACTGAACCATCATCATTGAATCCACTGGGGCCTGATAATAGAATATATACCCAAAACATGTTCCCCTTCGATTATCGTGGATTGAGAGGCTCGATGGCACGTTTGATTGGGCCCCCCTAGTGGATCGGTGGTCAACCAAGGTCCGCCATGACCTACGGCCAAATCAGACGGACAATTAGATAGAAGTTCGTAGATCCCCACGAAAAATGTTCTGGAAACACAATATAGATGGTGGACCACTATAGACTGACCCGAACGCACGGCACTCCAAACACCTTGAGCAGATGTAATTACCCGATGTATGCGGAACGGAGATCCAGACGAGACTTTCCGATGGTTATTCCTGGAACTGAGCAGGAACAAGTTGAATACATATTTATGAAAGCTATCGTTTCCTACATCTCTCACTGGTTCTTTCTTCCTGTCTTGGATCCCCAACATCGAAAGCAAACACATGGAGTCAGCACTCACATCGATTAGCACAGAAATGCTGCGATGGACTGAGGTCTTGCCAGTATGCCAGATCGAGTCACCAACACCATCCAGCTCCTCAATGGCTGTACCTACAGGCGCCGGCCGGCCGTGTGTCGCGTCGCCACCGAATTTGTCACGGCCAGTGGTGCCACTGCAGTGATGATACGTGTCGCGGGCCAGGCGAGGCAAACTGCGAAGTAAGCAGATGTTGAATGACTTGAAGTCCAGTTTTTTCTGGGGTTCATGTACGGTGGTCCAAGCTCAGCAAAAAGCTTTAATCTACTTCTGTTTGCACATGTTTGCACCAGCCTGGAGTCTCTAAGTGACCTCTTTGGAGTCTCTAAGTGACCTCAGTAGTGACCTCATTCGATCTCAAGTTCGGTCACGTACTGAAGGTGGAGTGTGTTTCGCAAACTTGTTCACAACATGAGCTCGGACCTTAGAACCAACCCGACCGAAACGGCCCGGCCCCACCGGTGGGATCCGGGCCAAGACCGTGTCGGATCACCCTGCGATGACCGGTTCGTCGCGCGTCCGGGCTCCTGTTCCGAGCCTCCAAGGAGGTACCGGTGGGATCTGATCCCCCCAACCACCCCACCCAACCACCAAAGCGAGGTTTCAGGGGTGGGCCAGGAGCCCTATAGGTGGTCATTGGATCGAACCAATCGAGCGTGGATACCGCTGGCCTCTGGCCTGCCAGACACTCCCGAGCCCAATGTATACGGCAAATATGCTTGTCCCACACCATCCGAGTGGCGAAAGAAATGACCTGCCATGAAAACCCTCCCCCATCTCTATCAGTCACTGACTGATAGAGGGCGATAGAAGGCCTGACCGACCCTTACTGCACCCTCGTGTGGGATCGGTATCACCTGCACCTCTGAGGCCGTCGGTGGTGAACTGCTACCAGGGCCAGCTGAGCTCCTTGGAGGTCCACCGCACGGGTCAGACGCAGCGACGCGGGTCGCCCACGTCGGATCGTTGGGGCTCCTTGGAGTCCGCCAAACAGTGGGGCGGCGCATGGGATTGGCCACTGAGCCGATGTCCTTGGACTGCAGGGCCCCCCATGAGTGCATGAGTGCCAATTCATCCAACAGAGGTTGAAGGACTCTATCCTATAACCCTAGGTGACGGATCCTAGAAGGTCACTTAACCTCTCTTGGATCACACTCACATGCTCTGAACATGCTCTGAACATGCAGGTTGATGTCTTTTTCTCGACATACCCACTGGATTTTGCCTGCCCACTAGGTCGTGGTGATCACCATGGATCTATGGTATGCGGACGGAAAAAACAAACATCCATTTGCAATACCCAGATGCTCTACGGGACTGGAATATTATATATATATATACCTACATTGACAACTGAAACCACCCCTGGATGTATGTAAATATGTCACTCCCATGGAGTGTCTGGGATAGGTTGCAATCGCCTGGAAGAATGTGGCCCTACACTACACCACACCAGCAAGCTAAGATGAAAAGTGCTGTTGCTCCAAAGATCATCAGCGGCTTTGTTGCCGACTGAGCGGCTTCGTTGTCGACCGAGCACAGCGAAAAAAAAAGACCGTCCACCAAATTGTGTGAGCGCCTTCGCGAAGTGCTTTTCCATGCTTTTCCTAAATTTTGCTTTTGCTCAATTAGGTGACGATTTCTGTATAATTGTGTTCCAGCCAGAACCCTGGGTGAATCCCCCAACCCCCACGGGGGAAGAACACATATCGTCACAACTGTGTCCAAACAGGCAAATCCCAGTTTGGATGTGTGTCTTCTCATGTCTTCTCTATCGTATCGACTTGAACCCTGGCTCAAGTCTCCCAACGGGGGTTGAATGTTGCAAACAAATCAGACCGTGGAGTCAGACTGGAGTCAGACTGTCAAGACCTGGCGAGTTTTCATCAATTCGACAGACCATCTTAATTTAAGATCAGAATCTGTATATCTCTATAGGGCTCCAACCACCTCCTGAGAAGGTGGTTAGGGTGAGTTTGGGGGGTCTAACCACCTTCCCAGGAGGTGGTTGGAGCCCTAGGGTATATAGACATAGATATGCACCGCGCCTCCCCTATCCTATAGAAGAAGCGGAATGTGGATCTTACGAACTCGGAACTCGCACGTCGTTCCTCAAACTCTGCAGGCGAACTGCTGTAATCTGCAATTGATCAAATTGCTTTTGTTTGGAAGCCCTGTGAGGCTTGGTTCAGCCAATGGTTGAGTTTCTTCTTTGAAGAAGATGTTGACATTGATGGTTCTGGTTCCAAGCGACTTGGTAGATGAAAGACGGATGGTGAGAGGCACGGGGGTCTTCCTTGCGCTGGGTCAGTTTTCCAGATCGGTTTTCAAGTAACCTTCGTTGAGACTTTCGGGCATTTCTTTCCTGGGGGGTGGTCGTGACTGGACTGTACTTGGTTTGAAAAACCCAGCGCTACCGGAGCAGAATCTGATCTCAGGGATGCGAGAGGCCGGCCCCTGACCAACCCAGACGCTCCGTGAAAACAACCCGACCAGTCCCTCCAAAACGCAAGGGATTGGAGACGCCAGATCCCTCCAGAGGATTCGGGTCCAGGGTCGCGTGTCTGGGAAGAACTTGTTCGGTAGGAGTTCGGAATGAGACAAGGGGTCCCAGTGAGTGACTAGCGATGCACTTGTTACAATTCTAATTACATTCTTATTGTTACTACTAGTAAGGCACTTGTTACTACTAGTAAGGCACTTGTTACTACTAGCGAACCTTGTTACTACTAGTAATTAAGGCACCTGTTACTACTAGCGATGCATTTGTTACTACTAGATGTGACGTTCGGGCACCCCTATCTTCGTTCGCTACCGACTCACTGGAAGGGCCCCGTGGTTCACCCGACTCCATCGTTTTCGCGGCAGTCGCGCACGTCGTGTGTCACGCGACGCGACGCGCACGTACGCGAACGTACCGTGTGGCCCGCGCGGGGCGCTGATGTCAAGGAAGGTGTACAGCCTGTTGCAGAAGATCCGCAGGGCCAAGTATCCTGCTATCAGCCTTGGGCTAAGTATCGGGGGGAGGTCGGAGAGGGGTGGGAGATGGGTGGTGCCAGGTCAAGTTGGTTGGGCCACTCAAACGTGCACTCAATTGACTGGGACCCAGAGAAAGCATCTTCCAGGTCTCCAAAGGCTTGGGTCATAACAGGTGTCAAGACTGGTGACCTGTGGGCGGAGACTGGTAGACCTGCACAAACTTTTTGGGGAAGTGATTTTCTTCCAAAAACACAATTCACATGAACCTTCTCAGAAGGTGATGTGTTCGACACTGAGACATGTAGGTGCCAAAACGTCGGCTCCAGTCCTACCGAACCTGAGGTTCGGTGTGACTCGATCCCTATATATGGGAAAAGAATTGGCGAGAACTGGTGTTCCAGGGATCAGTGATAAGTCGCCGCCTTTTCCATGGCCTCTACCGTTCATCCATAGGTTCGCTCTGACTTCTGGCTGCTTGAGAATAAAGTACCCAGACGCTCCATGTATGCCATATATGCCTACATTGACCCCCAAAAACACCCCTGGCCTGATCGGCAGTCCGGACTGGCAGTCCCAGACAGGTCGCGTTTGGGGTATATTCCAGGCATCAATCCAAGCGGCTCAGCAGCCAGAGTGACGACTGTGCTCCCGGTGGTGACGACTGTACTCCGAACGTACAGCTCCGAACGTCAGTACTGCTCTGATCGTCTTCCCCGATCGTGAGTACTCGATCACCATCCATTCATGTGGTGGAATGGTTGAACATTCCACAGATGGGGTCAATGTAAGGAGCTATTCCGTACATGGATGGATTGGGACTCGTTTTCTATTTTGTCTTTGAAGGAAGAATGAGCTCCGCCTACTGCGCGAAATATCGCTCCGCACTTGCGCAGGACCCTCAATCCAAACATTGCACCAAGTTTAAGGTCCGGCATAACACCCTGCAAAAAATGCAACCCAAGTGTGTTGCCAATCAAAAAACAGACATGTCATCGCGGAGCATTGCCAACTGATAGGAGCAGGTGCACTTGCACTGCGGCTGATAGTGGGATAGTCTCCCTTCGTTTGTTAGAGATCCAGATATTTCCAGACGTGCAACTTGTGGAGAGATCGTTTTTGGATCGTTTTCTGTGACTGGGTGGCTTGGTAAATCTTGGTAACCAGACTTCAGAGATGTCGAGAATCTTCAGAAAAAGCACATCCTTCTTCAAGGTCAGAAAATAAACAAAGAACAAAAACACGACGTTCAAACATCTGTTATTTTCTTAATGTTTTTTTGCGGGTGATGGGCCTGGGTGCATATTGATTGTTTGAGTCACCCGGTTGGGTGACTCCCCTTGCGACGGCCTCGGTGACTCGCCATGAGCGACCTGGTCGCGAAAACGCGTACCACGACGCGCCGGTGAGGTGAAGAGGAGGAAGCAGCGAGCATCCCCTTGCAGCTGATGATGCAGGGAATCTTTGATGCCATCCTCATGCGTTGCTTGGGCAGCTGATGGAAGCAAAGGGAAACGTTTAAACACGTTTAAACAAACACGTGGTGTTGGGGTGAGATGAGTTGGGGCTTCTTTTAAAAGACAGACAAGTGTTTGAAGTGCTGTAGAGACGACACATGGACACCCGGCAAACAGGGCACCCCCTATAACCTCTAGACACACCAGGGCCTGGGGGCTTTGGTACCCATGCCCTGGTTGGTGGCTTGGGATCCAGAATGCGAAAGGCAGGTGTTCCTCGGTGAACATGGGTAGTCAGAAGTACTCGCTGCCAAGGCATTTGGCAACTTCGGAGGTGTTTCGAGCTGACCTGTGGAACTGTTTGTCTTGGGAAGGGTGGAACTGTGGAACCCGCATGGGTCGGCCACATGGGTGGGCCACAACCCAAAATCATCCAAAATCCATCAGAACCGGTCCCCTGCATGCTCGTCCATAACTAGTTCCCCTTGCTTGTTCATTCCCCCCCCTTTTCATGTGTAATTTTTAGTTTCAGCCTCAATGCTTAGGCTTATCCAGCCTGTCAAGTATAACTCATAGTAACTCCAATCACCAAGCATTCCAAGAAACCAAAGAACGCATCCTTCAGGCTACCAGGGTACCCTGTCACCTCCTTCGTCTTCCTCATGGTGTGATCGTATGTCCAGTGTGTTTGGACGCCCACGGCAGCACCTCTCCTGCATTTGCATCACGAATACCAGCCAGTCAGTCCTCTAGACTTCCGACGGCAACCAGTGGCCCATTCACCTGTGCGTCTCAGGCTTGATGCTGGAGAAGGCAGGTGCTGCTTGGGAGGAACTCCGTCGGGAGATCTGCGAATCCCTCAACAGCCCCTTCGACCGAACTCAAAGTCGAGAACGCGTCGTGCGCTTCGCGAAATGAAAGAGCGCGAACTCCTATACGTTTGGATGGGTCGACCATATATGAAGTAGGATCCACGGAATGAGTCAAAAAGTGAGGCCTGCCCGGCCTGCGACCCTTGGTATTAAGCTAGTGCACGGTTACAGGACCCAAGCTGGATGGAGAGGGATACGATACAACCTTGGAACCTTTGGACAGATGCGGACAGATGGTTGTATGGGTTATGTAGGGTTTGTGTTTCAAACAAAGGTTCATTGGATGCCCAAGTTTGCATCAGCCATCAGTGACATGGAGCAGCTGTTGGTAGATGAAGCTGTTGGCAGCGAGGGCTTGTGTCGTCAAGAGGTTTTTCTGCGACACTCCGACGCCTGGAAAGCTGTGACTTGTTTTTGCCAGCGCCAGTGCACTCAGAGTTTTCAACTTTGCAGAACCTGTACTCGCAGTCTTCAGTTGTGACATCAAGACCAAATGAGCATCAAACTCAGTGGCCAAAACCTGTTGGAACATACCTTCCGGATTCTTTTTTGGGGGGCGCCAGCAGCCGTCCGATCAAGGAATCCCATCAATCCCAGGATTTGTTCCACTTTCGGCATCGAGTCGGACAGAGCCAGACGTCGACTGGAGCCGAGGGTCGAGTGGAGCCTATCATGTACAGATCAGGATACGATAGAACATCCCTCAACCAAACCCATCGAAGTGGAAGGACTTTTAGCACGGAGTCGTCGTTGGAGTCTTTCCAAAACGAAGCTGGTCCTCCGTGTTGGACGATTCTGACATCAGGGAGTGTAGGACTAACCAGAAGCTACGATCGGGGCTCCTGGCATCGCTACTCGGAGCAAAGACGCTACTAGGGGCTCCTGGCCATACTACTAGGAACAAGA